CACAGCTGTGGTAGCAAAGTTCTAGATCACCAGCCTGGGGTTGAATCCCAGGATAACAGTTCCTTCTCAGAGGGGCCTGTGAGATTGAATGAGACACTCCATGGGCAGCGGACACCACTGACTACCCACCCAACAGTCGTCTCTCCTCTCTTTCCTCTCCCAGGTGAGGCCAGAAATTCCAGAGCCTCATTTCCCCCAGTCTCTCTATGCCGTGGATGCATCTGACTCATCAAATGAAGCTCTTTCTTTCCTCCAGGAGGAGAATCTACCACCCATCTTGAGATTGAACTTCTGTCTGGCCTTCACCCAAAGTTTGACAGGTACACCTACATGTGGCCAGATAGTACGACGACAATGATGAAAACAGTGATGACCAAATATTACCAAGTGCTGACAGAGCGCCAGGCCAACGGCTAACCTTTACATGCAGTATCTCATTTACTCCCCACAAAACTCCATGAGGCAGGAAACCTCATGTTTACACTTTACAAATGAGGAAACTGAGTCTCAGAAAGGTCAAGTGACTTGCCCAAGGTGACAAAGCCAGGAAACACTGGAGCTCAAATTTCAATCTAGACTGGTTAACATGATTTCCTATACTCATGACCAAAGGTTTCACTGCCAACTACCTCAAAGGTGAAAAGAACTGAAGTTTTCCCAGAATGTTTCCCACCCCAGGTGAACCAAGAGGATAACAAAACCAGCTGAGTAGAGAGGGTCATTCAGGCACCAACCGCTGCATCTGCTCTGATCTCTCTGGATGCTCTCCCCCTCATGCGTGGCTTCCAGATTTGCCTTGATATTGACACACGTTCATACTTGTTGTATCTCATTTGGTCCATATGACACCACTGTGCATTAGACAGGAGAGGCATCCTGTCTCGGAAATTCACACATGAGAAACGAAAGGAAAGGTCACACAGAGAATGAGAGGCCAGCAGCCTCTGCCCTCAGGTGTCCGCCTCCCAACCCCAGAGGTTGGAGGAGGACATGGGGTTATCAGGGGAGCCTCCCCAGTCCCAGCTCTGGGTGGTCCCTCCCCACAGAAAGGCTGTGCGCATAAATTAAGAGGCTTGTGACCACCCAGCCTGTGGCGGCTCTGCTGTGGGATGCCCAGGAACTGCAGAGAGCAAAGTGCTTCCCTGATGACAGGGGAGTGGTGTCCCCAGGAGCCCAGAGCTGTCAGAGGTGGTGGCTGGCTGGGGATGACACTGAGGTCCAGAGAGCAGCTTAGGCCTGGGGAGGCGATGAAAGAACAGACATGGGAGGAGGGATGGGGGGCTCCGGGTGCTCAGCCTGAGAAGGAGCAAAATAGAGGGAGCTGGGATCCTGCATAAGGCAAGTGGTAGGAAAATAAGTCCCCAAAGATGCTCACGTTGTAATCCCCAGAGCCTGTGAATATGGTCTTTACATGGCAAAAGGGAAAGTTAAGGATCTTCAGATGGGGAGATCATCCTGGGTTATCCAGGTGCACCCAAAGTGACCACAAAGGTTCTCGTAAGGGAAAGAGGGAGGCAGGAGGTCAGAGAAGGAGACACAATGATGGAAGCAGAGGTCTGAGTGACGTGGAGCCAGGGGCAGAGGAATGCCGGCAGCCTCTAGAAGCTGGAAAAGGCACCAAGTGGACTCTCCCTGAGCCTCTGGAAGGATGCTGTCTGCTGGCGCCTTGGTTTTAGCCCTGTGAGACCCATTTCAGACTTCTGACCTCCGGCCCGTAAAATCATAAACTTCAGTTATTTTAAGCCACTAAGTTTGTGGTGATTTGTTACAGCAGCAAAAGTAAATAAGTACAGCAAATGAGAGCTATCCAGCCAGTGGATTCAGGTTCTGGCGTAAATACAACCATTCGTTCATTTGCTGAGCAAATGCCGTATTCTGGGTGCTGAGAGAACATCTGGAGATCAGAGCAAGATGTAGGAGCTTGTGATGCAGTGGAGGGAGACAGACAGTATTCTGGTCCTCAACTGACTGCCTCTCAGCTCCACATTCACCCCTCATTACCCGCTCTGTGAAAATGGATCTGAGCCCTGAGCCCTTAATAGTTTTCCCGAGCAAATGGGCACGATGTTAAGCTTCACCAATAGAGGGCGCTGGAGAGACATTTTGGAAGGAAAGGGCGTGCTTTCTGATGCTGGTGCACTCCTCCCGCCCTGCAGGTGCACATGGCTTCTCCAGGACTGATGGCTTCCCCTGTGTCCAGCTTCTGCTGCCTCCAGCAGCCAGAGAGCCCAGTGGCCAGCAGCTTTCCCCAGCACCCACTTTGAGTGGTTAGGTAGCAAATGCCTCTGATGAGACACCTCCCTGTGAACAGCTGTCCCCAGACTTCCAGCAAGTTCCACTGGTGTGCTACCTCAGCAACTTCTCTACATCCAGTGAGCTGTGACCATACCCTCTCCAAAAACAGGAGACCTCAGGCAGGGGGAGACCTCTTCCTCGGTGCTCTGTCTCAGCCCCAGGGGAGTGGATGCTCCTGACGCCTGCCGTTCCAATACTCCTTAGAGTTCTCTTCACTTCTTGCTAATCAACCCCTCATTATTCTGATCTTCTGTTATAATTAATAGGGGAGGAGGGGGAGAGGAGGAAGATAAGGAGGATCGGGGAAAGGAGGAGGGGGAGGGAGAGGGAGGGGAAGGAGGAGGATGAGAGGAGGGGCAGGAAAAGGAGGAGGGAGAGGAGGGGGGAGGCGGGGGAAGGGGAGGAGGAAGAAGCACATGAAAGGTAATTACATCTAAGAGCACTAGGCAGCATTCTCCCTTAAAGGCCAGCCTTCGGCAGTTATGAGTTTGGAAAGCAGCTAAAACAACTGATTAAAAAAGATGAACTACCAACTTTGGCTCCACTGCAAACTTTACTGAATAGCTCTGGTCCCTTGGAGCCATTTCAGAGCCACTCTTCAGAGAGATCCAAGAGATACTTTGTAATACACAACACCACTCAACCATCCAAACCCAGCACTTCCCAGCCAATGGGAATTAAAGCCAAAAGCAAGAAACCATCCCCAAGTAAAGATCAGCCAGATGGGGAGACACTAATAGTCAGAGACATGGGGTGTGCACAACACACATAAAACCAGCCTCCCCAGAGAAGCAAGATGCTCAGATGGCACCAGAGGGGAAGAAACGGGGGGTGCATGAGGGAGGCAGCAGAGAATAACTCTGCACAGCAGGCAAGCCACCGCTGGACTCCCCCTGGACTCCAGCGCCAGCACTGTGCCCAGGCATCCGGCACTGAGACGCAGAGGAGCAGGGACACTGGATGAGCCCCACAGGCAAGTGTTGGCCACCACAGAAAGACTGCCAGAGCTGACCTGTGTCCTGACCACATTCCCAGTGCCTGCTTTCCCTGCTCTGCCAGGCTCTTCACTCCTGTGCAGGTTTCACCAGTTCCTTCTCCCCCAAGTTCTATCCTGTCCCCACCATGTGCCCATCAGAGGAGGGCACCATACTCTTCTTCAGAATTCCATCCTCAGAAGCTTCAGGAGGCTGCAGAATCCCCAGTGAACCTAGTGCCACAGATCAAGCACGCGGCAAAATCGTAAGGACTTTGAGTAGACAGATAACCCAGCCTCAGCCAGATCTTGGTTGATGCCAAGAATTGACAGAAGAGCACCTGGAAAAGGGAATGCAGGACAGTCTTACTTTGCCCTGAAATCCACCTCCATCCATTTCAGCCCCTTAATGGGGCCCTTTCCTGCTAAATTGTGGCTGCTCCCAAACCAAAATACAGACCACTGCCCAGGCATCTGCGATTAAAGCATAGATTCATTCATTCATTCATTCACAGTCCCAGGCATTGTTCCAGGTGCTGGGGACACAGATTTGGACAAAACAGACCAGAACCCTACCCTCATTGATCTCGCCTCCCAGGGACACGGACAGATGGTGAAGCCTAGACCTCAACAGTGATGGTGTCTATGAAGAAGATAAAACAGCGTGGTGATGTGGACAGAGTGATGGGCGAGGGGACGGAGGGCCAGTTCTAGCCAACGCAGTCAGAGAAGGGGCCTCCCTAACAGCCGAGTTGAAAAGAAGGAGCCAGACATGGGGAGAGGTAGGGAAAGTGTGTTTTGGGCAAAGAGGAGAGTCAAGAACACAGACATGGGAATTGCAGAATTAATTGTAGGATGGAGGGTTTCATCTGCAAGGATCTTAACGCTGGTCTCCAATTTGAGTGTGGATGATAGAAGCACCCACAGACGGCCCTGGAACAGCTGGGCATGGACCCCCACACTTTGGTCCCAGACTGGAAGGTCAAAGTGGTGCAGAATATATTTGAACATTTGCAGTGTGAAAAAAGGTGTTAAGCATGGGAAATCCCCATGGGTTTATCATCCCTGTGACCCACCAGCACCATCCTTTATAGGTTCTGGAACCTCATCCATGACCCTGTTCTCAGATGTGGCCCTTAAGCCTGGTTGTCAATGGAGCTTAGGCCAAGCTCAGAGGGGAATCTGGTCCCCTTTAGGCCAGAAACAGAAACACAAGTGGTTTTATGGATGCTAGGACCCTATCCAGGTTCAGCTGGTCAATTCCCAACAAGGTGCCTTCAGTCCATCTGCATTTTAAAGTTTGCCAATCCCCAAGCTACCCGGGAACCCTCAGGGAAAAACCCACTGACTGGGGGGCAGCTCATTCAGCACGCGGAGCTGCTGTTCTCACCACACACCCCTCATGCGTTTCAATGAAATTGTCTTCACTCAGGGCAACATTTGGCCCTGATCTGGACAGAGACTGAGACAATAAAGAACAGGGGCTCCCCAGGAAGCCATTCAGCAATACCCACAAAGGAAAAGGGACTTAGGCTGTAGCCCTAAATAGTTTTCAAGGAGGCATTACAGAAAGCAGGTAAATAAAACATAATTTAAGTGTGTTTCCCTTGTTTAAACAACTTCATCAGGTGCACAGAAAACAGCAGGTTATAAAATGCTTTAAATTTCTTTCAATATTAAAAGTACTCAAAGAAAACTTTGTGACACTTTTTCTGAAGACTGAATTTCTCACCATGGCGAGAGGGACGATGCCCACGAAGGATGTCTGGCTGACAAAGATCTCGGAGACCACCAGCTCACTCCTGGAGTCATCCACCGGGTACTCCACTTGCCAGGTAATTTGCTGGGCCCCCGCCAGACCGCTGCTGTTGTCAATTCCAAAATCCACTTGCAAGATCTCATAGAAGGAGCCATTTGCTCTGGAAAACAAACACATGTTAAAGTGCAATTTAAAACCTGAGACCCAGCAGAATGTCAAGAATGCAATAAATTGCCACATTCCTCTTTGTCAACCAAAAGAATTACTGCCAAGTTCAACAAGTCACCTGGCAGCATCGATAGAGCCTAATTCACAGGCTGCCCATCAACGGCCCCAACTCAGAACGGGCAGATTATCCATCTTCAGGGCTGTGTGGAAAGCAGACTGTTCTTCTCTGAAGGAGTAGCTCAGACAGCTCTGGGCACACCATCACAGCTCTCTCCTCCCCAGCCCATGCATGCATATGCCACCATCCAAGCACCACACACAGGAAATGTCCCTAAAAACTATCTAGTTTTGCCATTACTCCAATCGTGAGGCACATCCTGCACTCTGGCTATCTGCTTCTACTTAGTTGTGTGTCTGTAGAAGAGTGGTTCAAACTCCGAACTTTAGATTGAGGGAGAATAGTGGTGACTTCACGGGCTCGTGGGAGCATCATGAGACCAAGAATGGGAAAGGATTTCATAAACTTCATGGTTCACTACACAAACTATGAGCGACACAATGAGGTGTTATTGTTGATTCTTCTTTTCATCCGCCTGAAGCGGGATGAGATGTAATGTAAGAAAATCCCACCTGCCTTAATTCATGAAGTGACAATGTTGTACGTGTTTGGAGGAGGGGGGAGAAAGGGGATAGGGCACATATAAGTGAAAAGACTAGTGATATTCTCAATATTTTTATATACAGGGAGCCTGTCATCATTGACACGGACTTGTAAATTGTAGGCTGACTATTGTGTTGACAGGAGCAGTTACTGAACAGAATTAAAACAAAAAGCCATCCAGCATGCAATTGGAGAATGACTCCTGTTCCATAAGCCTATTCCCATCTCACTAAATCTAGCTTTACCAGGATTCAAGGAATGTGACAGCAGAATGACCGATTCACAGTTGCCCAAGGCCTCAGTCACACCAACCAACGTGCTGCATTATTGCCAGTGGGCCTGCCTGGCCCAAAATGGGCTTGGAAGCCTCTGCCCTGCCTTTTGGGGTCTGGGCAGAGTCTTCAGTTTGAATCTCCAACTTTCAGCCTGTGAGGAAAGAGGTTTGAAAAGAACCTGTTGCCTGCAGCTTCCCCCTCAGAAATCTCCTACCATGGACAGCTCCCCTTCCTCTGAAGACTTCAGAACAGAGTGGAAAACCACAGCTGATGCTCGCCTCACATATGCCAAGATGTACCAGAGGCAATATTCAGGTAAAGCAACAGTATCGAGAGAACTGAGTTACACTGACCTGCCTGATGTGGAATTCTGCTCAAAATAGAACCACACTGGACTCCATACAACTGGTCGTGTCCAAACTTTTTCTCACTTAGCAGAAGTTTTAAGAAACTCTCAGATACCGTACTGTCCAATCCAGGAGCCACCAGCCACAAGTGGCTATCTGCATTCAAATGAAATTAACTAAAAAATAAATCAAATTAAAGATAGAGTTCCTCAGTCACACCGGCCCCATTTCAATTACTCGATAGCCTCATGTGGCTGGTGGCCACCATATTGGACAGCGCAGATAGAGAACTCCTGTCTTGCATTATACCCTGAGCAAGTCCTTTATGGCTTTCTAGCCTGTCTCCTCACCTGGAAAATAAGTGAACAGCAATGATGCCTGTCTGCCCACTTTCAGTAGAGCAGTGAGGATGGAATGAGTGAATGGATATGAACTTGCTTCATGCATTCTTCAGTACCAGGATCACATACTGTGATGGTATCAAAATCATCAAAGACACACAGCTCTGGAAGAGTCCAGGGACCCCCCACGGCCAAACACAGCCAGTGGTCCCAGCTGAGCCTAACCTGTGTGTTGGTATATGGCAACTATGAATCCTCAAGAATCTATTTGTAATGCTGTTTGCATGGGGAAGAAAATATGTTTTGGATAAGGATCCCTGGCTTCATGAGAGGACTGATGGGCACACATGGGAATCCCCTACCAGGGAACCCCTATTTACCTGAGCATCTTCAGTGAAAAGGCAAAGAAAAGAGAGAATAAGGGCTGAATTTTGAATTTCCAAAGGGATTTCAGGATCTGGGGAACTTTGGTGTTCAGTTCTCAGCTTCAGTCACTCCCATTTCCCATCCACCACACTCGAGCCTGAAGTCTCCTCTCTGGTCAGAGGAATTCTCCACATATCCATCTGTTGAGTCTCCTCCTATAAGAGACGCTCCGTCCTTTCACATCAGATCTTCAATTTCTCTTTGGGCTGTGCTGTGCTTGTAACAAGAAGTAAGGAGCTGCTTCTTTTTTTTTTTTTTTTAAGATTTTATTATTTTTTCCCTTTTTCTCCCCAAAGGCCCCCAGTACATAGTTGTATATTCTTCGTTGTGGGTCCTTCTAGTTGTGGCATGTGGGACGCTACCTCAGCATGGTTTGATGAGCAGTGCCATGTCCACACCCAGGATTTGAACCAACGAAACACTGGGCTGCCTGCAGCGGAGCGCGCGAACTTAACCACTCGGCCACGGGGCCAGCCCCAGTAAGGAGCTGCTTCTAATACTTCCTGGGTTCTCAGCATTCAGTGGACCTCAGAAAAGCTAATGCCGAGAAAGGAAACGTCCAGTGAGAGAAGACTAAGAAGGGTAACTCTGTGTTATCAGCAGTTTAATCCTGCTGAATCCACATTCTGGCCTTGGGGTACAGAGAGGTGACCAGTCCTTGGGCAAAGGGGGCAGGGTCTGCATGAAAGGGCTGATCCCTGCTAACTGGGTTCTTCCTTCTCCTCTCTGACTTTCCAGGCTGCGAGCTGGATTACCTACAGGGATTTGTTCAAGTCCAGCTACAATTGCAATAACAATCAAGTCAGAGTCACTTTTATGCTTAAATTTTTATTTTAAGTCATTTCCCTCAAACCAGAGGAAGGGAGTTTTTACTTTTAGGCAGCCGACATGCTTGCTAATAAGTCCATTTCTATGGAAATGGGTTTATCCTATTAATTTTCCCTGCTCCTGATCTATTCTTGATAAGCCTTGCGAATTTAGAAAAGTGCTTCACGATTCTCTCAATTTAATAATTACCAACTGCCTTTGAGCAATCAGGATCAGTGTTTCAGCCATGAGATATTCATTAGACATTTCTCTCCAGAGTGCAGAAGTGCATGTGTGTGTGCGTGTGTGTGAGGGGTCAGGCAGGAACACTGCTTGGCTGTTTCTCCCTCAAACCAGAGCACACAGCCTTCTCCCAAAAGGATTTGCTTCCCAGAAGCCCCATTCCCCATGAAAACCTCTGCTTCAATAAAAGCTGAACCTCCTCCATGGGATCCTGGGACCCCTGAGGTGGGGCTGAGACAGCTTTTGAGAGCACAGTGTGGCTGCAGCTCAGACATGCAGCAAGAAGGAGGAGGAGAGATGGAGGCAGGGGAAAGGGATGGGGGACCCACCAACAGCTTGTCCCCAGGAGCCATTTCTCAGCATATCACTCTTGATGACAATAACGGTTGAAGGAACAGGATGGGGAGAGGAAGGGAGGAGGAAAGGGAGAAATAACGGAAGAGGGAAAGAGAGAGAAAGACTTCAAGAGCTTGATCTGTTCTCTAGAAGGTTACATAGATTATTTCTTCCCCACCCCTACAAACTTCTAGATGGTTCTGAGCTACCAGACCGAGAGGCTGCAGGTTTCCCCACACGACTTTTTCTAGAAATGGAGCAAGAGAGGCTGCCTCTGGCCTCAGGGCCTCTGTGTTTTCTTATGAGCCTTTTTCTGGGCATTATCTTAAAAGCTGATCAAAAAGCAAGGTCAGCCCTGAACGATGATGACATTGAACAAACGCCCCAGAACAGGGCTGCTGGTTACTCACAGTAAATACGTGAGACGGAACTCCGAGTCCCCCGCAACTGTTCGCTCTGTGAGGACAAACGTGTGCCTGTACTGTTGCTGCCCCGACTACAGAAAGTTGTAGGAGTCCAACACATATTTGTTTAACTCACTGAATATACTTAAAAGGCCCAGCAGGACACCCCGGAAAATTCCAGGGGGTGTCGTCTGCATTCTGGGAGGCAAGAAGCTACCAGTCAGCTAGCCTTGACTCATATTTATACATCTTTCCTTTCAGAAAACGTGTCTGTCTCTACTACTAGAATGTAATTCTTTTCTTTTCTTTGTTCACCGTGTTTTAGAGCAGTTTTAGGTTCACAGCAAAATTGAGAGGAGGGCACGGAGAGAGCCCCAATATACACCCTGCCCCCACATGCACAGCCGCCCCCATTATCGACATCCCCCGCCACAGTGGGACATTTGCTATAGCCGGTGAACCTGCATGGACACTTCATTATCACCCAAAGTCCACAGCTGACATCAGGGTTTACTGCTGGTGTCTTACATTCTATGAGTTTGGACAAATGTGTGATGACAAGTATCCATCACGTAGCGTCTTACGGAGTATTTTCACAGCTCCACAAATCCTCTGCGCTCTGTGTCTTCATCCCTCCCCACCCCCACCAACTCCTGGCAACCACTTGTCTGTCTACCATCTCCACAGTTTTGCCTTTTCCAGAATGTCATACAGTTGGAATCATACAGTGTGTAGCCTTTTCAGACTGACTTCTTTCACTTATTAACATGCATTTAAGTTTCCTCTATGTCTTTTCATAGCTTTATAGCTCATTTCTTTTTAGCACTGAATGATATTCCATTGTCTGGATGGACCGGGGTTTATTTATCCATCTACCCACTGAAGGACACTGTGGTTTGTGGACATAAGTTTTCAGCTCCTTTGGGTAAATACCAAGGAGCAGGATTGCTGGATCACATGAATGTAAGTTCTTCAAAGGCCAAAACCTGTCATAACACTGCAGTCACTCAGTCCCCGCACATTCATTTATCCAGTGACATTTGTAAAGCACCCATTGTGTGCCACGCATTGGGAATCTCTTGGTAAACAAAATAGATGAGATCCCCGTCTTGCTAGTCAGGTAAAGAAATACATAAGGCAAGTCCTGGTCAT